GGATTTTATTTGTGTGAGTGTGGGTGGGTGTTGAGTTGTCCACGTGTTCATCATTCAGCGGTGCAGTATCCAATGATGTTATTTCAGTCAGAGAACACCACGCCCTAGAAGTGCTTCTACATTTGTGTCTGTTCAGTGGCCAGTGTGTGTTCATTATTTTTGTCAGTTTTTAACAGAGGATTGTACCTAATTATACGAAACTGGTAAATTTTGCCTAATACAAATTTTTGTTTTTAAAACTTTGTAATTATTTTTAAAAAGTCCTGATAATAAAAGTTTAAATTATTATATTTATATTTCAACACAAAAATTGTCAAACAGTTATTTGATCGGAAGCACCGAGAAATAAAATTGTATTTCAACAAAATATTGCGCCAGTTTTCATCGTGACCTGCATGTTTACCGCCGAACATGCTGTTTGCTGTCCATTCAATCACTCAAATGAAAACAGCTTGAATGATGTGCTCAATAAAAAAATATGACTAGTTAGCATTACTTACATTTATGAGAACCAGGTTAAAACAGTTCACATCTTTCTAAAATAAAAAAAATCGCTTTTAAAAAATTTGTTTAACGTGCGCAAACCAAATTTTAGAACGACGACGTAGTTTATATTTTGATGACGTCATTTCGTTGCCGTTCACGTGACATCAACACAATGCGGTTTATGCATATTTAAATTCTTGAAGCAAGAACAGTGATATTGGAAGTTCGTGACTAATTCAAATATTTTTTGACCGTTGAAGTTTGAGAACAAAATTGTTCATTTAAAGAGAACGTATGTACGTTATAATTTAAAAGTTAATTCAAAGTGCTTTTTCTTCTCGGGATCTTTTTAGATAAAAAAAAGTTCAGTGGCGAACGACTTTTCTGATGAAGACGTGGCAGCTTATTTATTTACTGAGTTGCCATTGCTTCACAACACAACAATGTATCTCTTTGTATAAATGTATCTTCTTGTATAAATGTATCTTGTATAAATGTATCTTCTTGTATAAATGTTTCTTTTTGTATAAATGTATCTTCTTGTATAAATGTATCTCCTTGTATAAATGTATCTTCTTGTATAAATGTATCTTCTTGTATAAATGTATCTTTTTGTATAAATATATCTTTTTGTATAAATATATCTCCTTGTATTAATGTTTTTTTTTGTATAAATGTATCTTCTTGTATAAATGTATCTTCTTGTATAAATGTTTCTTTTTGTATAAATGTATCTTCTTGTATAAATGTATCTCCTTGTATAATATATCTCCTTGTATAAATGTATCTTCTTGTATAAATATAGCTCCTTGTATAAATGTATCTCCTTGTATAAATGTATCTTCTTGTATAAATGTATCTTCTTGTAAAAATGTATCTTCTTGTAAAAATGTATCTTCTTGTAAAAATGTATCTTCTTGTATAAATATGTCTCCTTGTATAAATGTATCTTTTTGTATAAATGTATCTTGTTGTATAAATGTATCTTCTTCTATAAATGTATCTTTTTGTATAAATATATCTTTTTGTATAAATATATCTCCTTGTATAAATGTATCTTTTTGTATAAATGTATCTTCTTGTATAAATGTATCTTCTTGTATAAATGTATCTTTTTGTATAAATGTATCTTTTTTTATAAATGTATCTTCTTGTATAAATGTATCTTCTTCTATCAATACATCTTTTTACAAATGTATTTTTCGTATCAAAGCATTTTCTTGCATCAACATATTTTTGTATCAATGCATCTTTTTGTGTCAATGTATTTTTATGTAAATGTATCTTCTGGTAATAAACCGGAATGAATGTTTTGTTAAAGTTGTTTGCATTGCTGAACATAAAAATAATACTTTTTGAAAAACAGCTTCACCGAAATTTTGAAATTATTTAATTTAAATTTTATTTAAAAGATTGTTGCGCTTGTCATTTGAGTTGGTGACGCTCACTCCAAAAACTGAAACTCTTAACTCGACTTCTTGAAGTTGTCAAGATCCATCCCAAAAGCAAGCGCACTTCAAAACAATTTAAATTTTATCTGCCATTTGGTGTTAAACGTTCTGTGTTGTTATTTGGTGTTGTATTCTGTTGTGTTGTTGTAAGCTGTTGTGTGTTGTAAGTTGATAAATGTTGCTGTGTGTTGTTATGTGTTAATACTAGTTGAGGCGTGATGTTTTGTTGTAATGTGTTTTTATAGCATGGTGTAGTTTAGTATGCTCTAACGAACAGAGGTTGAATTATTGCTTGGAGGGTTGTTATGGTTCTGGATGGAGGTAAAGCTGATATGAGGTGATTAATTCTGATATGATATTCTTTCCGCAAGATGGAATGTACCACGTTGGTATGATTAATAAAAAAGTAAATTTAAATTAGGCATTTTTATGGATGGCGTGTTATATTATATAGCGCCATATTACTAAATAGAGATTTGTTAGAATGCATTAAAATATGTCTATATTTAGTTCTCGAAAATTGCAATTTAACGATGATTATTAATTATAACAAGCCATTTTAGAAGTTAGCCCAAAACTGAATGTCAGGCATATTTAAATTTTTAATAATTTTTTTATTAAACAATTTTTTGATAAAAAAAACCTTTTTAATTTTCACTACTGCTATTTATTTCTTTTCAGTTGAAAATGTTGGCATTGAAAAACGAGCATCGTTAAATTGCTGGAACGTTTGAATGATTGTTTCTCCGTTGTTCAACATCCATGGAAAATTGTGGATTTGTGATGTTTCAACTTCACCAAACAAAATTTTTAAAAGTTTTTTGTGCAATCAAGCAACTTTCAAACTTAAATCATGTCTTGCTAAAATTTTTTCCTGCTAGCAACTTTCAAATTCAAAATCATGTCCTGCCAATTTTTTATCTGTTATAATGTTGCAACCAATGTTTCCAATCCAACGAGCTGTGAAAATATTTATCAACAGCCACCGAGCAGCAATAGCAACTTTTCAAAGATTTTATAAGCATTTCAAACATAAGTCACAATGAAAGTTTTAGTTTTGCTCGTGATTTGAATTTATGCATCTAATAACGGACTTGTCGAGAATCAAGATTTGTGGTTTGGGTTGAGTTGAGAAGATGGAAGAACGTGATAAGGATGAAGTTCATTCAGACAACAAAAAACAAAAGTTGGCAAACATGAAATTGAAGTAATCAACTAGCCCTGTTATCGGAGAGAGTGTATGTGTGTGTGTGTGAGTTAGTGTTTGTTTGTATGTGTGTTTGTCTGTTAGTGTTTGTGTGTGTGCTTGTGCTTGCGTGTTGTGTTGTTGCATGATTCTCAATTGCTGGATGCTTTTTAATTTTCAATGCTTTTTAAACTCAAGCATCTTAAGAACTTTCATTGAAAATATTTTTGAAAGTCTCACAAATAAAAGTTGCGCTGAAAAGTTTGCAAACAGATGTTTATAACAATTTGTGTATTAACTTTTGTAAGTTTAAATATTGTATTAATTTTTGCAAATTTAAATAAACTCTCGATTGATAGCATGTATGTAAAGAGAACATAATATTATTTTGCCATATAAAATAAAAAATGATAAATTAAAATAATTATTTCAACTTTCTCACGTGCAAGAATATTCCGAAGAATTTTATTTTTCAACAGTGAAAATTCAAAAACGTACATTGACGTTTTGAGATGATGAAGTAATGTTCAAGCTTTCTAATCGTTTTGTTATTTATGAAATTTCCTCTAGATATCTATCCGAATTTGTTGTTAAGTGTTTACCTGGAAAATTAAAAAACATCAAGATAACACATTAGGTAATTGCTGGCTCCTCTTGGTCTCTTCTACCTCCCTTTTGTGACATTTTCTTGTTTTACATCCTCAACATCATCATTGTCAGCCTCATCATCATCACCATCGTCATCACCACCACCATTATCATCATCATCATCATTGCCATCACCATAATTACCACCATCATCATCATTGACATCTTCTTCATCTTCATCATCGCCGTCATCATCATCATCATCATCATTATTACCATCATCATCATCAACGTAATCTTCATTGTTATAAATTGTTATAAATCATTGTTATCATCATATCTGATTAACACGATCACAATCGTTAGCTGCACATCAAGTATCACTCACTACTTAAACCTGATCTCGCAATGTTGATTCCATCCTACCATCTCATCAAACATTCACTGGTTCGCCACATATTTTGGCCAATATTCACAACCGGTTCCTATTGAAACATTCATTGCATTACACTATCATACAATTTTATATTTTGTAATTTATTTACCTTTCCAGCTTCACCATACAAACAAATTACAGTTTTACGATCATACACGTACACCTAACTTTAAGCGCGAATTTATTTTATCGTCTGGTTATTACATACACGAAATTGATTGCAAATGGCTGAAGAAATGATAAATTTCATACAAGAAATTAAACGTTTTATTTGTTTAAAAAAAATTTGAAAATTCTTGTATTTTCCATTTGTTACATGTTCTAGCAAAGCTTTATTATTCTGAAAAAAATTTTTCAAAATTAACTTATTTCATAAAAAAAATATGTGAAGTTGTGACGATTGTGATGATAATGATTGCGTCTTTGAGGCGTGCTGCCTATATATATCTATATATTTTACTAAACATTCTATGCATGTATATTTTGTTATTTGATATGCCATATATGCGACGCTGCTGTGCTGTATCGCTTTTCTGAGTATAGGAAAAGAGTATAGATAGGAGTATAGAATTTTCTATGATATAGAAAGCGTTATGTAGATAGGGCGGTAAAAACATATAAAAGGCCGCGAGTTGAGATATAGAGGAGGCTGGTCGTTTGTTATCTTAATTTTAGGTTTTGGTCTCTTGCTTGTCAGTTGTATTATTAATAGATTAATTTTGGACTTATCGTTTTGTTTTAATAAGGACAGAGGTTTGATTTGTATTATTTTGTTTGTTATTTTATTTCTTTTATTGAATAAAAGAAGTGTACACTTGAAGTTTGGCTCGGCTTAATTATTCTACCTAAAATAATGGATGTTGAAGAAGACTTGTTGATAGTTGACGAGGTCGGCGTCTCTAGTCAACAAGCAGGGCGCGAACAAACTTCCGCTCGGCCCGTGTTTTCAGACCCTGAGAGGGTCTATTGTAGAGTGGCGGATCCCGGCCAGGAAAGACTCCGCCGAAGCGAAGGCTCGGGTGGATATTCGTATGCGGACGCGGTTCGGGACCGCGTGGTGCGGAATTCGAATGTCGCCCGGCGAAAATCTACAATTGGCGCCCAACGTGGGGCCTCTTTTTTAAACATAACAGGTTTTAGGTGCAGCAGGAGCCAAGGTGATTCTCCGAATTTTTTAGGTGACAGGTGCCATGTTCGACAACATGAAACTTTTTTAGATGTTAGGTCACAGGAACCGAAGGAGGATCGAAAATCAACCTCTAGCAGACTTTCAACGCCCGCCAGCCAACAAAATGAAATTGTTTTAAACAACAATCGTTTTGAAATTGTTGACAGGTACGAAGAAAAGCCGCGCATTGATTTTTCAGCGAACAATTTAGGTTACAGGTTTATCCCCAAACAGGATATTTTAGGTTTCAGGTGCCAGGGTGATCCAAAGTTGCAGGAGTTCGGACTGAATGAGCTGCGATTGGCGTCCAGTAGATCACGGCGAAATAAAATTTTAGATAACCGCAACAGGTGCAGAGCGACCGAGCGAGAGAGAGACACAGTTGAACACAAGTCGACGAGTGACAGTCGGGAAACGCTTCATTCAACTGGTATGAAGTCTCAGGTTCATCAACCGCGTATAGGTGCCGAGCGTGACAACGACTTTTGTCGTCGCGAATTGCTTCGACCTGACAGATTTGATGGCACCGGCTGTCTCAAAACTTTCTTAAAAAAGTTTGAGATATGTGCCAGGTACAATAATTGGAATCTCGTAGACATGGAAGCGTATTTGTCATGTTCGTTAACAGGTGAAGCTTCACAGGTTCTCTGGGATTTAACAGGTTTAGGTTACCAAGAGCTGGTATCTAAGCTAGAAGATCGTTTTGGAACAAGAGGTCATGAAGAGTCATACAGGTACGAATTACAGATTCTTCGTCGAAAACCTGGTGAGTCGTTACGAGAGTTGTCGATGGTTACTAAAAGACTCATGTCATTAGCCTATCCAGGAGAGCAGTCAAGATTAGCTACACATCTAGCTAGGGACTTTTTCTTGACAGCCCTCGATAATGCTGAATTAGAATTAAAGGTTAGGGAAAAAGAACCAAAGAACATTGACGATGCTCTTAGATTCGCACAGCGTCTTGAAGTTTCAAAGAGGGTGGTGGATTCATCTCACAGGTTTGACCCGCAGGTTAAAGATTTTCAAGCAGGGGCAGAAAACATGGAGTCAATGGTACGACAGATTGCGTTCCTTCAAAAGTCATTCGAAGAACTCAGAAATAAAAGAGTGCAGCCAACGGTATCCCGAGTTGAGCGAGAGAAAATTTGTTTTAATTGTAAGAAGCCAGGTCATCTTGCAGTCAAATGTCCTGAGAAGAATGAAACCTGCAAATCTCAAACTTATAGTCAATTGAATTTCAAAGGTTGTTACAAATGTGGAAAGACAGGTCATTTTGTGAGGGAGTGCCCGCAGAAAGGAATGACAAGCAGCACAGTAGATTACGTGAACAAGTCAATTGAAAGTAACGATCGTGTCTTGTATCTGCCAATCACAATTAATGGCAAAAGAAGATTAGGTTTACTTGATAGTGGCAGTAGTGTATCCATTGTTCCAACGTCTATGGTTGATGTCACAAAGATCAGACCGACGAAAAAGAGATTGAAAGCTGTCAACAACACAGAAATTCCAGTCAAAGGAGAAATGAAGTTGCAAATTAAAGTTGATGATTATTCCAAATCAGCGTTAGTGTTGGTGTCTGATCATGTTTCAGAAATTGTTTTAGGTTTAGATTGGCTCAGGAACAATCATATCTCGTGGAAGTTTGGCGAAGGAAAAATTGCCGTGGGTAACAAAAATAGAACGATGAAATTAGTTATTAAACATTTTTCATGCAGGAAGCTTTGTCGTATTGAAGCTCACACAGAAGTGCGCATCCATGCGCAGACTGAATTAGACGTGCCAGCAAAGATGATTGTTCGCCAGCCGTCCAAGTTGGAATCGACCGGATTTATGTGTTCGGAAAACAGACAAATAGAATCGGGTGTATATGTAGCTAGAACGTTACTACCTATAAAATATGAAAGACAGTGTGTTAGGATCTTGAATGTCAACGATCAGCTGGGGGTGATAAACCGGGGAACGCGATTGCCAGATTTATCATCGGCTGTGGAAGCAAAGGAATCAGTTGATCGTCTAGCATATGAGAATCTAACAGAAGTTACAGGTATGGTTGATGGATTAGTAAAAGATATTTCTAAGAAAGCAAGAGAAGAGTTGATTCAAATACTTAAAAGTTTCTCAGACAGATTTAGCTGTGCGAGTGGGGAAATAGGTGCTGCAAAAGGAGTTTTTCATAAGATTGATACTCAGGATGCACGACCGGTAAAACAACAGCTGAGGCGACATACTCCGGCGCATCAGAAGGTGATTGCGGAACAGGTTGAGCCTGAAGACATCGCAGAAGACGATTCCATAGGGGAGCCAACAGAAGCACCATCACGAAGTAGCGACGTGTCGACCGAGTCGCTTGTCCAAACCTGGACAGGCGAAGATACGTCAGAATTTTTACCAGGGCAGCCGGACATCGTTCCAGAACTTGTGAAGCTTGCTGACGAACTCTTTGATCAGCGACCAGATTTGTTTGCCGTAGGTAACCAGCCATCGATGGACCTGTTTGCTGGTCTGGACGAACGACCGACAGAAAACGATCAGCAACTGACGGAAACTCAAACGAGCACGACGGCCACAACAAAAAGAAAAAGGAGGAAACCGACGAGGTGGGGACCGGAGCTAGAAAGATGGATGGTGGAAGTTCCTGAGTCTGGTGAAGATCTATAAGAGCAAACGTCGGGACGACGTTTTAGAGGGTGGGGAGCTTTGTGAAGTTGTGACGACTGTGATGATGATGATGATTGCGCGATTGAAATATGCCGCCTGTATTGTGATGATAATGATTGCGCGATTGAAATATGCCGCCTGTATATTTTGTGAAATTGTGGCGATTGTGATGATAATGATTGCGTCTTTGAGGCGTGCCGCCTATATATATCTATATATTTTACTAAACATTCTATGCATGTATATTTTGTTATTTGATATGCTATATATGCGACGCTGCTGTGCTGTATCGCTTTTCTGAGTATAGGAAAAGAGTATAGATAGGAGTATAGAATTTTCTATGATATAGAAAGCGTTATGTAGATAGGGCGGTAAAAACATATAAAAGGCCGCGAGTTGAGATATAGAGGAGGCTGGTCGTTTGTTATCTTAATTTTAGGTTTTGGTCTCTTGCTTTTCAGTTGTATTATTAATAGATTAATTTTGGACTTATCGTTTTGTTTTAATAAGGACAGAGGTTTGATTTGTATTATTTTGTTTGTTATTTTATTTCTTTTATTGAATAAAAGAAGTGTACACTTGAAGTTTGGCTCGGCTTAATTATTCTACCTAAAATAATGGATGTTGAAGAAGACTTGTTGATAGTTGACGAGGTCGGCGTCTCTAGTCAACAAGCAGGGCGCGAACAAACTTCCGCCCGGCCCGTGTTTTCAGACCCTGAGAGGGTCTATTGTAGAGTGGCGGATCCCGGCCAGGAAAGACTCCGCCGAAGCGAAGGCTCGGGTGGATATTCGTATGCGGACGCGGTTCGGGACCGCGTGGTGCGGAATTCGAATGTCGCCCGGCGAAAATCTACAAATATAATGAAGAAAAATGTGATTACAACATCGGACGCCACAAGTTGAACGTTACATCACTGGTCACATCACTGATCACATCACTGGTCACATCACTGATCACATCACTGACCCCATCACTGGTCACATCACTGGTCACATAACTGGTCACATCACTGATCACATCACTGGTCACATCACTGATCACACCACTGATCACATCACTGGTCACATCACTGATCACATCACTGGTCACATCACTGATTACATCACTGGTCACATCACTGGTCACATCACTGATCACATCACTGATCACATCACTGATCACATCACTGATCACATCACTGGTCACATCACTGATCACATTAAAGGTCAGATCACTGGTTACATCACACAGCAACAACACATCAAAAGACATCTCCCAGATGATGGCATTAAAGTTGATTATATTTTCATTCATGTCAGAAATAAAAGCATCTGAAAACATTCCACATCCGTTTGAATCAACGCAAATCCTTTGATTAGAATCATTATTAGCGTGGAGTTTCAACGAAGGTAATTAAAAAATTGTTTCGTGATACAAATTTAACTTTGTGTGTCTTGTAACCTCTGACCACAACTACACTTCCTACATACACTCAGAAGCGCACACTTCCGCAATATATGTGGTCGAGTCAGAATATTGTTCTGTGCTGGCTGAAGTTTATTTTTGAAATTCTTACGATTCTTACGAAATCCGCAATATATGTGGTCGAGTCAGAATATTGTTCTGTGCTGGCTGAAGTTTATTTTTGAAATTCTTACGATGTTTCATGTTTTCTGCGATTGACCATCTTTTTTGTTGATCCGCCATTTTGCTTTCTAGTTTTGTTGTGCTCCATGTTCCAAATTAGTTGACCAACTTTCAAACAAAGGTAACAGCACATGTCTATCGGTGATAGATCTGGAACGAAACGTTGAAATTTGTGTTAGTTGATGTTGTTTTATGTTGGTGACATTTTTTATGCAAACATTGAAACGTTCGCGGAGAAACAAAATTTGTTTTATTGGGCGATGATGACAAAAAAAACGTCTGCATTTTTGGTTAACAATTCGAGAGCGATCAAATTGTGCGACTCTGAAAAGATGTAAATGTTTGTTTGACATTGTTCAACATTGTTTAACAATTCACTCTAAACGGATCCAGGATGTTAAATGTTGAATAGATGGAAAGGTTCGAAACATATTTATTTTCCAATTCATCAATCTTTTTAATTTAAATTTTTTTTCAATGTCCATCACCCCAAATTCATGAAATTTATATAAACTGCTGCATGTAATCCTCACGATCAACAACAAAATAATCACCAGCAGCTGCAGAAGCTAAAATTATATATAAATAATTTTTTTAAATCTTTTAAAGTTTTAGTAAAATAAATATGGTGCATTTCTAAAAACGTTAGAAATCTGGTAAATCAAGAAATTTATTTCCCGTGAATTTCAACCCGTCGGAGCAAACATCTTGCGAGAGTTCAGGCGCTCGAAGGTTGAATTTATGATGCGCACGACTCTCATCACCAAAGAATAATTTTTATCGCATCATCTGTCACTTTAATTTATTTTAAATTCAAAATTTGATAGGGCTATAAATTTTTATTAAAAACTTCATTTTAAGCCATGATGCTTTGCTTTAACGAGTTCATTTCTTTATTCACATGGGGTTCATATTTTATCGTCCTGTAATAACTACTATTAAGATGTATATTTTGTAAAATGAAGTTTGGAAAATTGCGCTCGAACGTTTTTTGCAATAAAGTTTAGAAAAAAATTTAGAAAGAATATTAATGAAGTTTTTTTAACTTTTTTAAGCGCCTAATTGGATTTTAATGGCTTGCCTGGTCCAACTATTGAAAAGTAATTATTGAATAGTTCAGTGCCTCTCCTCAACTTAGTTGCCAAATGATTGACAAAGAATGTTGTTTCCGCTGACAGTAAAAACAAATTAACCATGCCTCTTAACAGTTAGATCAATTCATTAATTTCTATTTTCTTCTTCTGCTTTGAAGCGAGATTGTAGGAGGAAGCGTTAATTAGTGGGTAGCTTTCAGGTTAGTTAATCTTTATTGAGAAGGTGTTCCGAATTCGATAAGTTTTTTTTAACTTTAAAAGTTCAACCCCACCAAAATGTGTTTGTGGCTTCCTACAATGAATATGCGGATCAACGTTCATTTGCTGAGTTTTAATAGTGTAACAATTATAACATACATGTGTGCGTGCGTGTGTGTGTGTGTGTGTGTGTTTAATTAACACACGAATAACAAACAAACATTCAGAGATTGATAGAATCATTATACGTACACATAATATGTGTATGTATAATACGTATAATAAATTTATCCAACAAATTTTAAGTGAAACTAATTTAATTAAATTTAATTAAATTTAATAAACGTATAAAAAAGTATAAACGTAATAAATTTAATAATAATTATTCAATTTAATAAACGATGCAATTATTTATATATCATTTAGTTCTTAATTTATATTCAAACAATGTATGTTAGTATGTACAATTGTACAAACATAAATATATAATACAATGTATGTATATGTGAGTACGGTTTACAGTTCACTATCAACAAGTCAATGAAAATGCTATTTAAAGTTTTGTTATCAACGAACTGCAATGTTGATGATGAAAAAATGATATCACAACATTAAAAAACACATCACATACTTGCCATCAAGTTGATTCAATCAACAATGACACTTCCGAAAAAAACAATCAAATAATTTTATACTGATATTCAAAATAACTAAACAAAAGTGGGACTGAAATAATTACCATGAACGGAGAAGCGTGATCGAAATAGCTCGTGGAATTAACTGTGAAACAAAAATTGGAATAGTTGCAGAAAATATTTTTGCAAAAACCAAACATTAAAACAGTCTCATCTAACATCAACTCAAACACAGAACAAATCCAAGCAACAACAACATCGATAGCACAGAATGTTTCCACTACTAATATAATCATCAACAACAACAACAATATTGATACATTAAAAGATAACCAACGACACGTTAATAAACAGAAAATCAACTAACACGTTCTAAAACATGAACAAAAACAACAATGAACAACGTACAAAATGAACGATGAACAACAAACTTGATGAACAACGAGCAACATGAACAACGAACAACAAACAGCATGAACGTTCATCAATGATCAATATCACCAAATAAGAACATTCAAAATAAACAAACAAACTGTTGTTCAAAACTCAAAATAAACAAAACGCTATTAACTCAACGACGAAAATGACATCAACAACAACATCAACAACAACATCAACAACAACAACAACATCATCAACAACATCAGCAACAACAACAACATCAACAACAACAACAAACAACATGGCAGAATCAACAAAATAGACAGGATGCATGCACCAAACAAACAAACGAATCCAACGCAATTTCAACTGCTGCAACAACATCACGGAACTGCTAGCTGTTGATTAAAATAAACTGACATTTCACAATGAAAGTGCATAAACAGTTTCTTCATCATTAGAATAAAAAAAAACAACAGCAACGTTCATAAATATTTTTAATGCTCTGTTTGATTGATTATTGAATTGTCATACAAAAAGTTGAAATTTGATTGATCAGCTTGGCACATGCGTCCAATGAAATCTACCTACTCCACTTGCAACACCTCCATCAGATCAGATGGAGATGAATGAATGTTTAACGGTTGAAAAAGCTTGATCACGTGAACCAACTCAAACTGCCAACCAATCATATGACACCTACTCATATCTGGCATCCTACTACATACAAAAAAGTTACTCGAAACAAATTAATTTTATTAACTATATAAAAAATAAAAATAATTATTTGTTGACATTTGTTAACATTCAAAATCAGCAATATAATAGACCCATTTGAAATATTTTGAGAAGAAATTATTTTGAAAAAGTTGTGAATAAAATTAAAATTCTCAACATCAGTTCAGCAACAATTTCTCAGCGGGCAGCTGCAATAGTAAGAGTAAATAAACAATAATGATTAAATAAAACAACTGGAATAACAAATCAAATGTCGATAAGAGTGAATGTTGATGAGAGTGAATGTTGATGAAAGTGAATGTTGAAGAGAGTGAATGTTGATGAGAGTGAATGTTGATGAGAGTGAATGTTGGTGAAAGTGAATGTTGAAGAGAATGAATGTTGAAGAGAGTGAATGTTGATGAGAGTGAATGTTAATGAGGGTGAATGTTGATGAGAGTGAATGTTGATGAGAGTGAATATTGATGAGAGTGAATGTTGAAAAGGAGTGAATGTTGATGAGAGTGAATGTTGAAGAGAGTGAATGTTGATGAGAGTGAATGTTGATGCGAGTGAATGTTGATGAGAGTGAATGTTGAAAAGCAGTGAATGTTGATGAGAGTGAATGTTGATGAGAGTGAATGTTGATGAAAGTGAATGTTGATGAGAGTGAATGTTGGTGAGAGTGAATGTTGAAAAGGAATGAATGTTGATGAGAGTGAATGTTGATGAGAGTGAATGTTGAAAAGGAGTGAATGTTGATGAGAGTGAATGTTGGTGAGAGTGAATGTTGAAGAGAGTGAATGCTGAAGAGTGTGAATGTTGATAAGAGTGAGAGTGGTGGTGTGGTGTGCAACTGAGAGGAAAACATTTTAAAAATTTTATGAATTAGAGGTCGGAACAAAAGCGAAAAAGAAATTTGTTATGCTGTCTGATGAAATATTACTACGCAAAACAATAATAATGTTGCAAATAAAGAAATATTTAATGGAAGCGCCTGAATACTATGCGAAAGTTCCTCCTTCAATTATTTATAACATAATTATTCGCCTGACGCCTCCGGGTCCCAAGACAGTTACTGCCATGTCATGTCATGTGATGTGGTTTCATATGTTGCGATGTTATGAGATGTGGTAGAGTGTAACGTGATGCCATACGTTTGATGCCATGTGATGGGACGAGATGTATGTCATTTGTTGTAAGTAAGGTCACATGTTGTGGTGTCAAGTGATGTGATGTCATATGTTGTGATGTCATATGTTGTATGTCATGTGATGATGTGTCATGCGATGTCATGTGATTTTATATGTTGTGACGTCATGTCACGTCACATGATGTTTATTTTATTGTGCATTTATTTTAATTAAAATTAGAACGGTTTCATCCTCAAAAATGTGATTAATAATTGAAATTAACTATTAAATAATTTTTAATAGAGCCACACATTACGAACGCATTTATAATAAAGTTAAATTATTAATATGATTTATGGAGTTGGACGAAATGAGTTTAAACATAATTATCATTCACCAGTTGTATGTAAGTGTGCGTGTGTGTGTGTGTTAGTGTGTGTGTGTGTGTGTGTGTGCAGCACATAAAATTTCGTTGTGAATGAGTTGCACTGGGTGTGTTTACCGGTTGAATGAATGTGCTGGTTGCATTGGATGCGTTGGTTGCATGAATGTGTTGGTTGCATGGATGTGTTGGTTGCATGGATGTGTTGGTTGCATTGGATGTGTTGGTTGCAGGTATGTGAATGGTTGCATGGATGTGTTGGTTGAATGAATGTGTTGGTTGCATTGGATGTGTTGGTTGCATGGATGTGTTGGTTGCATGGATGTGTTGGTTGCATGGATGTGTTGGTTGCATGGATGTGTTAGTTGCATGGATGTGTTGGTTGCATTGGATGTGTTGGTTGCAGGTATGTGATGGTTGCATGGATGTGTTGGTTGAATGAATGTGTTGGTTGCATTGGATGTGTTGGTTGCATGGATGTGTTGGTTGCATGGATGTGTTGGTTGCAGGGATGTGATGGTTGCAGGGATGTGTTGGTTGCATGGATGTGTTGGTTGTAATTTCAAACTGTTACCGGGTGTGTTTACCGGGTGTGTTTACCGGTTGAATGAATGTGTTGGTTGCATTGGATGCGTTGGTTGCATGGATGTGTTGGTTGCATGGATGTGTTGGTTGCAGGGATGTGTTGGTTGCATGGATGTGTTGGTTGTAATTTCAAACTGTTAGATTAATTCATTTTAAAAAAAATTTTATTGCTTAAATATGAATTTAGCTGTGAATATATTCTGGCAAAAGAAGATTTAACGGAAATAAACAAATAAACGCAAACCATAATAAAATAAGAAAATAATTAAATGAATAAATAATATATATATATATATTAGGGTGGTCCCCAATTACATTGGAAAAAATAAAACGCGTAATTTTTCAGGTCTTACCCTTTTATTTGTTTCTCTCATATATAACAAGTAATATGATAAAATTTTATTGACCATAGAAAAAATTTAGAGGTCGCTCAAGCGAGTCAAAGTGTTCTGTGCTACCACCTAATTATACGTATTAGCATTTTGTTGCAAAACATGACAAAACTGTTATAAACTACCTGATAAAATTATTATGTCCAGTACCCAGTGTCACTGTTAAACCATTTAGTTGTTAAGGAGATGTATTTCCTCCCACTAATGTCTCTTTCTTTGGGTTTGGATACTGGGTACGTATTTTTACGTAAATTTAGAGGTCGCTCAAGCGAGTTAAAGTGTCCTGTGCTACCACCTAATTATACGTATTAGCATTTTGTTGCAAAACATGACAAAACTGTTACAAACTACCTGATAAAATTATTATGTCCAGTACACAGTGTCACTGTTAAACCATTTAGTTGTTAAGCAGATGTATTTCCTTCCACTAATGTCTCTTTCTTTGGGTTTGAATACTGGGTACGATGGTACTGAACAACTTACAGAAGATACTGCTTTTGTTCTTCAGACGATACTATTGCTCTGTTAAAATCCTGCATCAAAGCAACTCCTCTCTCGTCAAAATTATTGACTGGCTTTATACCGCTTACAACTTCAAAAGCTTTCTTGTACTGTTCATCTTCTCTCCACTCGGAGGGTCTCTTGTTTAGAAATGAGTGAGGCAGTCCGAGGATTGCAAAGAATTGCATAGTGTTCGAAGACACAAAGTCTTTGACAGACATTTCATCAGATATGTCATTAATATTCATCTGCACTCTTTTGGTGAAGTCGTTGGTTGTTTTTGATTCCACTGACAGAGCATCAGCCATCAACACTTTTTCCTCATGAAAAATCTGATCATCGAAAAACCCAGCTCCAGCGAGTTCTCGCTAACATACCATAGATGTCTAGAAAGTGCGTTTGCAGCGACAACAGAAACTTCACGGTCTACATCTCTGAATTGTTGGATTCTCTTTACCAGTTGGAGATCATGTCTAGCGGCACTAAGAAGGTCTGGAGTCGTGAACCACGATCTAAGATACACACAGATGCCAAAAACGATGAAGCGACAGAATTCCTTTTCTTCAACTCTTGTCAGCCGAAACTGATGACGATACATGTACAATTTGAAGGCGTATATTAGTTTCGCCATCCAGCGTGCCCTATACAGAGCTCCAGGTTGCAGAACTCTGACTCCCCTTGGCGGGCGGTGTCTCTCCCAGCAAAATAAGTGAAAGCTCCAGTAGTTCCCTGTAACCGCACCTTGGCTGAAATTGTTCAAGTTGCGTTAAGCAAAAGCTAACGATACCTTCTTTGTGTTGTTCAACTTTGCTGTTCATGCTTTTATCATCCATAATTGTATGGTAATCAACTTGGTTAATGCTGTTGAACTCATTTCAAAAGCGCAAGAAGAGTGCTATTTCTGGACCTGACGTATTAGACGACATGCATGCAGAAAACGCATGCTCAAGTATTTGGTGACGGCAAGCTATGTGAAGCACGTTACGCCTTAATTTTTGTTGCAGCAGGGTGCATGCTCCATTTTTTTTCCAGTATTACTCGCTGTAGTATCGAACACTAATGCCTTAACAGACTCCTCTAGGTTCCATTCTAAGAGGCATTCGTGCACTGCTGTAGCCTGTCTCTCCCCTGTACCAGATTCTAGTTTTGGAACTGGTAAGAGCTTTTCAACTTCCGCTCCTTCAACAACAATGGGAAGACGATCAACTTTCTGATTACCGGTCAAATCAAGTAAAAGCTTCCAATCCCAATGGACAGCCAAAGGAACGTCTGGAGAAAAATTCCTTCGAATTTCCAACGCAAGTTCTTGACAATGCTTATGCCTTGCTCGTCGAATTGAAGATCTATTGATGGCAAGGTTTCCAGCATTTAAGCCAAGGTGTTTAGCAACTCCACTGATGATGTACGTTGTCTTTCTATCAGAAGTCTTCGTTCGATCAAATGCTGCAGCAGTTTCCCTGCTAACTGCACAATGTGAACGGGACATCGAGAAGCTTTTCCTACTTCGTTTTACCTGCACACGTTTGGCAATGCTGTCTTTTTCTGATTCACATTCTGACGATGAATCACTGGAACTGTGCTCTATTTCAGCTGAACATGCACCGGCAGTGATCTCTTCCTGCGCCTGGACTGACTTTAATTTGTAGCTCTCCTGTCTTCTTTTCCTTTCATACGAGCATGCCTCTTTCAGCGCCAGATTCTTATCTACACCACTCATATAACCACGCCGTCCCGGTTCCCTTTGTGCCAGCAAAAATTCTCTGTCTTCTTGTATCTGAATCAGTTCAATAGCATTAGCATGTGCTATATCAAACAGATCTTTTCGTGAATGAACGAATGCTTGTTCTTGACGTCTTTTGAGCATCTGAGTTTCTGTTAGAATGTTTCTTTAATCCTTGCCACAGTTTAAACATATTATCCAGCTTCTTAACGGCGTTGTATTCTTGAGTTGTAGGAATTCTGGCCCGTTGCCATATTGGAAGTACCTCTCTTATAACAGCAGTCTCACTATCGCGAACTGTCATTTTCTCTGACAAATGAATGTACAGAAAGCGACGCATCACTTCACCTTTCGCTGGTAACTTGTTACCCAAAATGGCAGTTTTTAGACGCTGGCCTAGAAGATAAATATCCTGCTTCTTTCTTGTTAACTCAGCCATGTTGTTTACTTTTTCAGACAAAGATCTGTTAATAAAAAACAAAGACGTTTTATTAGCAATTTGGATTAATTATTAGACCCATAAGGTAAAACTTCAGAGCCCTTGGGCGACCTCTAAATATTGACCAATTGACCTAAGATTTTACACCAAGTATTACCTAATGAGTGGTAACAAAATTAGGGGGTAAGACAAAAAATTTAAAACTTTTTCATTTTGGGGACCACCCTAATATATATATATATAAATAAATAAATTTATATAAATGAATGAATGAATGGATAAATGAATGAACGAATGAACGAACGAACGAATGAATGGATAAATGGTTAAAAGGACAAATAAAATAAATTCGTTCTTGTTTATTTTTCTTTTCTATTTATTCATATATTTTCCATTCCCATTAATTTATTTTTTATCGTTTAATTAAAGTTATTTATAAGACTCAGTCGAATGCTTTTTACATCTTAAAATTGGATTTTTAGACGGATTCTTCTGCTAATATTTTTAAAATCTTTGGTTATATAAATGTTTGTGTTGTTTCAGTGTCATCTACATCAGTAAACGTCATTTTTTGTTTTTGTTCACCATCACTTCAGCTAAAATTTCCTCAGGTTTAAATTGCAAACCTGATCGGAACTGACATCCGAGGAACAGTTCAAAAAATGAACAAGCATGTAAGAAGTACGCAGGACGTTAAAAAAGTTACACCACAATTTTATAAATACTTATTCCAGCAACAATTTGAAAGAAGTGAGTTGAATTCCTTTTTGAATGTTTTGTTGAAGCCGTAGTAGAGGAGGAAGTTGATGGAAGCGTTGAGGACCAGGAGGGTGTCAGTGACCTCCCTGGTGGCCCGCAGGTGATAACTTTCCGACTCTGCGTATCCCACTGAAAGAACGGACATGACGGCATCGGGAGTGATGCAGAGGAGGAAGAAGATGATGACGACGATGAGCATGACGGTGATGCGGTTGCGACTGGACAGCTGCTTGTTGGCTCTTGTCATGCGCACACTGTTGATGATGAAGGAGCTGAAAATGACGAGCAGGAAGAGAGGAATGATGGAACGCAACATGCTCTGCATGCTGTTGTACACGTGGGAAACGCTCGAATGCTCCAACCAAAAATCCGTCAAATTCACCTTTGTAAATAAAAATGTTCGTTAGAGGTTGGTAATAAGAATTGTTAATGTGAGTCGTTAATGGGAATTGTTTTTGAAAAAGTTTTATTTGAAATTTTAACGGTTATCCATAAAAATATACCTAATTTTCATTAAGTAAACTGGAATCTGTTGGCGTCCTATTTTACAAGTCTTCATTGATTGAATGTTCAAATTAATCTCATTTTTTTGAGTTTTCACAATATTGTCTTCAATTATCTTTATTATATTGTTTCATTCTTAATATTATACCTCAATTTTGTTCCTAGTTTTGTTACATATGTATTTAGCTAGCCTCAAAAGTTGCCAAGTTATATTTGTAAATCAAAGCATTTTTAACTTTTCCAAACACGATGAGTTGCGTGTTGCTTACTAATGCGATGTTTGATTGACTTGATGCTGAAATGCGTTCATTTTTAATCCCAAGTTTTCAGTTGCCATGCCACTACATGAATTTCTTTTTGGCACGATTTATTAAACGGCTCACTGAAAATCCTATACGACTTGATTTTAATTTATTGAATTTTCAACTATTTTTACAAGAAATTTGGAGTTTGTTTGGTTGTGTTAAATATTTGAGCTGATCAAATTATTTAAAACTGAATTTTTATTTTTGTTCATATTTTAATTCATTCCAATTTAGTTAAAATAAATCAAATTAAAATTAAGAATGCTATTAAAATTGAGAAAATGAATTGACTCAATTCATAATTTGTAGATAAATTTTGAAAAAAATAAATTCAGAACTCACGGAAACTTTGGTCTGGTTGAGACTGGCATCAAAGACTCGCACTGTTTTGTATCTGAAAAAGGATGGAGTCGAGATGAGAGCCATGATGACAAAGACAGTTGTGCTGAGCAGGATGGCCCGAGGAACAGATGTTATGTGTTTGGCACGAATCGGATGACAAACCAGAATGTATCTACATTGTTGGTCAAGTTGGTGTGGTGGTGACGTGTGCTTTTAAGGTAGCCTTAACGTCTGTTTTCAGACGTTTTCTTTCATTTTTATACTGGCTTTCACGATTTTTTTTGTATGTCAATAGACTTTGCTTCTTCATATCATTTCAAAACCCAAAAAATGAAAAAAGTTTAATAACAAAATCAAAATAAAAGACACAAACTATGAAATCTCAAAAATCTTCACTAACCTCTCAACGGTAACAGAAACTGTCATCCAGGAGGAGACGCAGGTCGAAAGGTTGAAAAAGTAGTGGCCGTAAGGATAGAAGCAGGCGAACATTTCGTCACCAGCTGCTGGGTTGGTCTGGTAAAGAAGACACGTAATGAAGTAAAATTCATCGTTGATCACTTTTATCAAGTCACTGACGGCAAGAGCTGATAAGATCTTATTCGTCGATGTGTCCATCGACTTCTTCGAGAAGACGACAAGAATGAAGACGTTTCCCGTTAAACCCAAAAGGCAGAGAATCGGATACAAAATTAATCCCGTGATAAATCGAGCGGTGTTGTAAAAAGTTTCATCTGCTGTGTCGTTGTCGTGGATGAGCGTGCAAATGTTTGTTGTCAGGTTATTCAGTTGTGAGCAGTTGTGTTTCCCGACAGCAGACAGCATGGTGGCGCCTGCGGAAATTTTGAAGAAAGTTTAACATTATCGCCATGATAATAATCAGGCCTTTGAAACCAACTCCTTTTAAATTTCATCTAAATTTCACATCCAATAGAAAACTTAAACAAAAACAAAATTAATAAAAAAATACAGAATGGCCTGTTTCATTTAATTATGTTCATACCTTCATAATTGGCGCTAACTTTGGTAAACAAAACTCTGTTATTACCTCAAATAAAATTTTAAGGGTCACAATATTATCTCTCTTCCCAATAAATTTTGACTCAAACATTCAAATTTTCAAGACGCGTGCATGTTCAATTTCAACAATCAATTCAACTTTTTTTTTATTTTTGGCGCGTGCGTTCATTCATTTTTCTTTGATATGAATGGAGCTTGAGGAGCTCACTCATGAATGAAGATTGCGATCAGACGTTCAATCAGCTTCCGATTGACCAACGTTTGCAAAATTATATTTTTATTTTTTTACTTTTTTGTTTATTATATTTTTAAATGAAAACATTTGTAGGGTTACAAATTTTTATTAAAGACACAACGATTTCTTGTTCTGATTATTGACAAACGCATGTTCTGCATTGTTTTAACCTTGATGTCCAGGTGATTATCATTATAAAGTCGATTATTACCTGTCAATTATTCAAAAACGTATAATTGGTTGAAGGTTATCAAAAGTAGAAACTTAAGTTAACTTAAGTTGTTGTCCATATTTTAATTCTTGCAATCGCAACAACCGCCAGAGTTCCTATCGTTCCAAATAAATAAAAATTGCATGCGTATGTATTAGGTTTGTGACCAGAGGAAGAACGTTGACTGAAAATAGATTATAAGGTTTTCATGCACCTTGTGCTGGTCCAAATGAAATAAAAAAAATACCAAACACGTCAGCAAATGTTTATCTGTTATTTTAAATGATTTAGTTTCAACATTTTTGTTCCAACCGGCAAACAAAATTTAAATAATATAAATTGACTCTAGTTTTTTAGTATTCCAAGAAAATTATTTTTGAGGCAGATGCAACATTCCATTTACCCATGCAAATCAATTTGCAAAAGCATCTCTTCAACATCTCACACAATTAAAAATTACTTTTTTAATATTTTAATGAAGTCAGTGCTCAATTTTTGAGAGTTCCATGATAATGTTCCTCTTCCTCCTACACGTGTCGCTTCCATTTTGTAGCGCTGCATTATTATTATTATGCTTTGTCATCCTTGAACACACACATGCATGGACGTTTTTCAAATCATCTCATAAGAACCGTGATTGCGAATAATTACACAGATCTTAAAATAACGTAACCAAACGCATCGACAATCTAATAATCGGGATGAGGTTCACGCAAAATAACTTACAAAAAAATGGTGACCTTGAATTGTTGACTTTCATTTATGACATTCATTTCATCATTATCCTTTTAATGTACAAAAGAATTGTCAATTTTCTTAAAAAGTATAACATAATTTCAGACTTTCAATTTGGCTTCCGTGATAAACATTCAACAGAGTTGGCAATTGTGGAATTGATACGTAAAATTGGAGTAGCTGCAGAAAATAAAAACTTTGTCGTTGAAACTTGCATCGATCTGTCAAAAGCCTTTGACTGCATCGACCACAGCATTTTGATGGAAAAGTTAAATTATTATGGAAACCGTGGAACACCCTTAAGATGGCTAGTAACTACTTGACCGATAGGAAACAGTTTGTTAGATGGCAGAACAAAAATTCGACGATACTAACAAATAACTTTGAAGTTCCTCAGGGAAGCATATTGGGTCCACTACTGTTTGTGATCTTTAAAAACGATCTTCCCAAGGCGTCGACGTTTTTTGATTTTGTTTGTTATGCCGATGACACTAATATTTTTAGTAAAGGTGAAAATATTCATGAACTTTTAAATGAAACCAATATTGCCATTAAAGAAGTGGTCAAATGGTTTCAAAATAACAAGTTAACGTTGAACAACAAAAAATCTCAAATGATTATTTTTGGGCCGGTTCAGTATCTGAACTACAAAGAACCGTATAAGATTACAGTTAATGAACTAGAAATAAACGAAAGCAAATCAGTTAAATTTCTAGGTGTCCACCTTGACCAAAAATTAAGTTTTCGACACCACGTAAATCACGTATCAGGAAAAATGGCGAAAGCACTTGGCGTTATCAACAAAGTTCGATTTTACGTTCCAAGAAAAACGTTAAATATGCTCAATAACGCCATATGCGTACTGTACATCTCTTACTGCAACGTAGTCTGGGCTGGTTCCTATCGCACGATCACCGATCCGATCCGATTAATAATGAAGAGGGCACTACGGCTAGTGACATCATCAACAAAGCAATCGCACACGTTGCCATTATTTTTGACAACGAAAAATTTGAATTTTGATCAGGTGAATGCCTAAATCACGGCTAATTTTGTCAACAAACAGCTGACAAACAAGTTACCATCAATATTCAATCATTACTACACTTCCAGCAACAAGAGACAAAATTACATTAGATCAAATTCATCCAAAACAAACATTCTCTTCTTCCGCGTATATTCCAAAGGACCAAGAATTTGGAATTTGCTATTAAAGGACAATTTTAAAATTGACTCAATGTCTGATGTTAAATTTAGGCAGAAACTGAAAAATTTTATTTTAAATTTAAGAATTAATTTCTGTTGATTTAGTCAAAATAATTTAGTTATATGATGTTACATTTTTCTGAATATTTTTAAAATTTTTTGTTTTATTTGGAACAAGGTGGCTGTGCAAGATGAGCTCATCACGAGCTCAATCACAGTCATCTTTCTTAATTGCTATTTTGGGAAGCAAATAAAAATATTCGTATATTCGTGATCTTTTATTCTAAAGCTGCGTAAGCAATCAAAGCTGTTTGAATATAAATAAATATTTTAAAAAATCTCTGCATTTTCAGTTTTGATTAGTTTCTTGCTCCGTTTTCTAAGAAAGGTTTCTTAACCCTAATTTTATAAATAACAAATCATGGGCCGACGAGACGATGCCGCAGAAGTCAGTGATGCAATCAGCAATGAACTGAAAAAACTGAACCAGAAACTAATCAAAGCTGGAAACGCAGCTTTTATGTACGTCAGACTTAACACTATATATATATATATATATATATATACATTTTTTGCAATTAGCACAAAATGTTATGAATAATCTTAACGAAAAGATACTGACTGTAGGTGTATTCATAGACCTCTCAAAGGCCTTTGACGTCATCAACCACGATATACTGATTAAAAAATTAAATTCACATGGAATAAGAGGAAAAGTAAGTGCATGGTTCAAAAGTTATTTAGAGAACAGAGACCAGTATGTGGCAATAAAAAGTCACTCCTCAACAAAACTTAACGTAAGATCAGGCGTGCCACAAGGATCAATTTTAGGTCCTCTTCTATTCATAATCTTCATGAACGATTTTCAACATGCAACTGATGCAAATCACCTTCTATATGCAGATGACACTAACATCTTCTTCCCAACTAAAGACCCATTGAAAGAAGTAGAATACATCAATTACAGTCTTCAAAATATATCAACCTGGTTTATCAAAAATAAATTAATAGTAAATTATTCTAAATGTAAT